CTGAACCTTTACCCTTAACACCCTGAGCCACAAGTCTAAACCCTAAACCCTACAACTTGGGGTAGGATCAAATGTGACGCACGCATTGTTGCGTGGCCCCAGCTCAATTATAACATGGGTAGGGTCGTATGTGACATGTTTGGACCCAGGGTTGGTTTGAGGGGCTTCTGCGGCCGGCGTCAGGCAAAGCCAATGGAGACGTTGCGGACCTTCAGCACGGCCTTCGGGTGGCCTGGCCTGCAATTGATGGCTTCGTGGCTCGGAGCATCGGGTTGAGTGTTGCTTTCTCGCGCCCGACCAATGTTGGATTTATGTTTCCAGAGATTCTGCTTGGGTTTTGCCGGTGATGTTAAAGAAAATACAAAGACACATCCGCTGATTGTAGTGAAAGGGCTCTAACGCAAGGCTCGGGATAGCCGTTTGGGCTTCGGCGACCCCGGTGGTTCTAGGACTGTGCTTGTGAGGGTCATGAGAAAAAACGTGTGTCAACATTCAGCTGCACGAATCTGCCCACTGCTGGGGCGCAGGAAAGATTCGCGTCTTGGGAGCTATTTTTGCAAAGCACCGCTCTGCTTGAGTACGACTTGTGACGAAGTTGCCGCCACGTGATCCGACAGCTGAAGTGGCAGTTTTTTCGAAGTGTTGCCATGTTGTACTGTCCAGTTGTTGGGGAGTTTCTCGCGAAACGCGCGACAAGCTTCTCGCATTTTCCGACATGGTCCATGAAAGACTTGCTGAACACTTCTGCCGCAGATTGCTTGGAGAAAACGCGGTGCACGCATTTGGCGCGCTTTTTGTGCGCGGACATGCGTTCGTGGATGTTTGCATCCTCGAGTTCACGAGAGCCAAAGCCACAGGCAGAAGGGCAGAAGGGGCACGGCAGACTCAAGATTCTTCAGTGGACTAAGACCAAGTGTTTCTTAGCATAGCCACATCGCCTTGCCGGATGGCAGTTCAGTGCTTGCCGCAGTGAGCGCGGTGAGCGGTTTTCGCCGCTGTCTGGGTGCCAGAGGGAGGCCGATGCGCTGCATGCGTGTCCCGCTCTTGAGATGTCAACGCGCGCGCCTTGCGTAGATAGCATGTTGAGTCTGCATTTTGTGTTTTGTTTTTCTCTTTCAGATGAGCTTTGACGACTGCTCAGGCACATTTTGGCGGTCTGGGATCGCGGCACTATGGCAGCAGTAATTTGGGAAGGCGCAAGGCCACAAGTGCAAGGCGACCGAGACAAGTGCAGAGGGCTCAAAATGAAGAGGGCTTCTTCAATACTGGCCTGACCTTGCAAGTGGTATCTGTGGCCACGATTCGTGCATGGCTGGCCTTCCAAGTTGTGTCCCTCGTACTTCAGTACAATTTTTGGCGAGAGGTTGGAGGCAACCTGGCGCTATTCGATGACACTCTGAGTGTTCACTGTGCTCCTGAGCGTTCGAAACATGGGGTGTGCATTGGGCCGCTCTGGAACGTTTCTACCTGGGAAGAGTTTGTGCTTCAAGGCAGGATGGCAACTCCTTTGCCCGCGGTGGAGCTGAAGCCGAGACCGCACGTGCTTGGAGGGTTTGGTTCAATAGAGGCGATCGATACAGAGATTGCGCAGCTGGAGAGGGAGACCGCTTTGCGGCTCAAGCAGCTGCGCGAGAGACGGGCTGAGCTGCAAATGGCTCAAGGATTGGTTCCCCTGGGGAACCAAAGTCGCGCGTTCAACGCCTCCTACATCTTCCAGTTTGAGACGCGGTCGTCTCCGCCGGTCTTCCTGGTGTCGCTGCATTGCGTGGCGAAGGCTCGGCATGCGGGCGAGGAGCCGCCCACTGTGGCGCCCAGCGCGGTGGATGAGCTGGACGACGGTCAGCACTGGTCGCTGGAGGTAGCCGTGGGTCAAAAGCCCCTACCCCCAGTGAACATCCCAATCCAACCACCAAAATGGACTAAAATGGGTGGTGCACCGTTCCCAAAATGGTACCATTGGTTTTGACCCACAGCCAGGTGAGACGTCTAGAGCCAGAATCCACCGTGCCGCATTTCCAGCGCCAGGGCTTTGGCACGCGGATCGTGACGGTGGAGGACCGAAAATGATCAGAAGGGAAATCTGTCTGTGGATTGGATGTAAGCGGATTTGGTGCAACAGCAAAGCGGCTGTGGGGATGGGGGAGGGTCTGGACAGCTGGGATGGTCGGGACAGTCAGGATGGAAGGGATTGCTCATTAATTATGTTTAGTACAGGGAGAAGTTCGGGTTGAGGGTGTGTAGGTCGGGATGGGTTTGGAGCGCTTGCGGGTTTGGTTTGTACCGAGTAGATTTGGGGTCAGTTTGAAGAGGCTTTAGAGTTGAGCATTGCATGGTGGGTTTGGTGTGGATTTGGGGCGGTTTCAGGGTGTGTTTGGCTGGGTTTAGGGAGGGTTTGGGGTTTGATTGGTACAATTAGCACCTTTTCCTGCCACGGTCACAGCGGAGCACAGAGACGAGCGAAGATTGTTGGGAGTTTGGACGACGGGCTTGTCAAGAGTGTGGTAAGAAAATTGAGGATTGGTGACAACCCTCACATCTAACTGAGGGCTCCTGGCCGATGATTCTCCCTCAAAAAGAGGCGCTCTGGTGGGTTCCACTTTTGACTACCCCAAGGTAGACTTAAACCAAGAGGTTCCCCTTGTGGGGAATCAGCCACCCCTGCCTTGCGGAAGACAAAAAGTGGAACCCTGCCCTCTGAGTGGGTTCCATGTGGCCAGGTCGTCAAACGTCGTCCAAGGTCCCGCGTTTTCCGCACCCCGGAGGACCTCTCGGAGGAAGCCCTGGGCGCGGTGCGCTCCCGGGGCCGCGTGCGCTGGGAGGCCGTGGTGCGCAACGTCGAGATGTCGCAACGGCGCGCGCGGTTCGTGGCCTTTGTGGAGGACTTCCAAGCGCCGCACCTGGAAACTTCCCCCAGAATTCGCTCCCTTTCTTATTGTTTGTTTTTGGCTTTTTTGGGTCCCCTTTGTTTTTTCCACGAACCAGGCAAAAAAGAGTTGTTTTTTTTTGGCTGGGGTCCTAATTCCGGCCCAGGAAAAGATCTACTCCTCCCAGTGCTCGTTGACGGCAGCCTGGAAGGCGACCGGCAGAATCCTTTAGCACCTTTTTTGCCGAACACACATTCGGTCTGGTTTGGTCTACCTTCAGCCGCGGGGCTGGGAAGTTCTTGTTGGCGCACGTCCTTCACTCGCTGCGAGTGAGGCCTTCAACCAGCAACACCAAGGGCATCACCATCGCGCTTTGGCCCTCTGCCGGGACTTGCTCGGTTGGCTGCTGCCGCTGGCAGCTTTGGCTACGTGGGAACCCTGGCTGCCAGAAGCGGCCCCGCTGGGTTTCCTTGTGTGCTGGTGTGTGGGTGTGTGTATGTGTATGGGTTTTCCGTCCAGGCTGTCTACGCGAACGCGTTGCGGACGCGAAAGGAGAGAGAGGATTTGGAGCTTCCTGCCAGTGCAGAGGTGCTTGAAGCCGCAGTCGCGCAAGCTAGGCTGCATGTGCTGGGTGTCGACACAGTCTTGACAAATTCTGCTGTGGAGGTGTGTGAGAATGCTGGCGACGTGGATGTGGGACATCGTTGCCTCGGTGGATATGAGTTTCAAGCCGTCGTGTGCATCAAGCTGATAGTCATGGACATTCCGCAGCAGGCGGACTTGCCAAGTTTCTTTTTGTAACTTTGTTAGAGCCTCAGGAGTTTCAAGCCCCAACTACGCGAAAGAGCCCCAACTGCTGGGCAAGTAACTTGCACCAGTGACTAGCCATAGATCAACTTAGGGGCGTGGATCTTGTCGGTTTGGTATCAGTTTGAGTCTGGTGTGAGATCTGCATTGTCCTCTACCTCCTTGGCTGGTATGAGCTTGAGGGCCTGCGTTGCCAACTCTGCTTGTTTCATCCTGCACACTGCGAAGATGAACACCCGTTCAGGTTGGTCAACTCAGCAGCTCAGCTCATTTTTTAAAATGTTCGCTTGCAACACGATAGTCCAAGCCCAGCCTGATCTTACCGTGCCCCACTCCAGAGCTTTCTGAGCATATTGAGATGCAGAAAGGGGTGCATGCACCCATTTGTCTCCATGGGGCAACGGAAGCGGCCTTGGGGGCTATCCCAACGTGTCAGACATCTCGACTTTCCTTCCCCCACCTCAAAGAATCGATTCAACTGAGGCAGCATTCGCTTGCACTCTGCTTTCGTCAGTGCCATGTCTGCAATCATGTGCATATCGAAGAAGTGTGGCTCTGGCAAGAGAGATCCTGGTCCGTGCGCTGTCATCAGGTGACCAATCAGATCATTTTCGGCCCGCGAAAGGGCGATGACGACGAGTGCTGCAGATGGACCATGAGGAGCGTGGCGAGCCAAGGAATGCCGCACTAGGAGTGCATGTCGGCTAAGGATTGGATTGATTTGTGCGACTTGGACTGGGAGAGAAAACTTTAGCCATGGCAAGTGCATGCAGCAAGTTGAATGGTTAAGTGCATGCGCCACGGATTGACTTTGACGGGGAAAGCTGCACGCATTGTTTTTCTTCTTTGATGTGCAGGCGAGGCTGGATGTGTAGCATCATCACAACTGCAGGTGTCAGTCCTTCCGTTCACCACTGGCATTTTCTGGGCAACCGCTGCGCTGCTATCCTTGCCGGGCATGGCAAAGGCTTTGGTCTTTGTGCCGTGCGTGATTGGCTGGTTCTGCGTGCTCGCAACCTGGCAGTCAGTTGCGAGACATTATAATAAAAGCTCATGGTTTTGGCTCAGCTTGTACCAGTTGCTCGGGATGGCGCGCCCTTTTGATTTGTGCCTTGCACATGCTTTGGCATGGACAGTTCCTCAGTAAAATCCAATGATAGGTGCCCACTACTGTGCTCAAGGTTTACCGGTTACAGCAACAATGCTTGCCCATCAACTACTTGAGTTGGCTGGCAGCTAAGGCGGGCGTTCTCTCGTGCATGATTGCCTGCTGTGGGGATATGTAGCTGAGCCCTGTTGAGAAACTGGTCCGGGCATTGTGGCTGTGATACATGGGACTTGTCTGCCTTTGGAACATATCAGAAGGTTTGCGTGTTCCCTCCGGCGGGCCCGTTTCTTTGGAGCCTGACACCGCGCCAACGATGCGCGGTGTCTCCATGGAAGGCGAGCGGCACAAAGCAATGCGCGCAAAGAAGCTACAAGACAAGTACAGCACACGCTCATTGCGCCATGAGGTTTGTGCATCGTGTGCCTTATGTGCCTTGCTGCTTTTCAAGAGCGGCTCATCCCAAGCAGCCACGGGGGTCTCAGAATGGGACCGAGGCTCAGTGACGCGGTACTTATTGTCCTGGGCACTGATGCATGGGCATGTTTCGCCGATTGAATATTCTAGTGGGCGGTTGCACTAGGCAGTGGGAGGTGGGTAGTGCGCGGGCGGCAGGTGCCTTTACTTGGAGCGGCAGCAAAGAAATAGAACGGGCACAGGTTTGCATCATCAGGCTCAAATGTTGAAGATGACAGTTGCTGATTCAGTCGAGGCGTCCAGTCACATGTTCTCACAAAGGAAGTGCAGCTTAAGGGAACCAACCCACATTTCTCGCTACGTTCCTCAAGGACGATCACCTTGCAAGCGTCCCCAAGGTGATTCGCGCTTCGTCGACGCCAGCTTTTACGGTGACGCTGCGCTTGGCGCCGTGGATGTGCAGGCGTGCGGCCGATCCAGTCCCGTGCCTCTCGCTCGCTTCTCGCCAGGACTGGCGAAAGCCTTTCAAGTGGGTCAGGGCGCCAGATCTCCACCCGCCGCTTGGCGTCGTCCCACGTGAGCCCGATGGAGTTCCGTCCAGTGGGTCCGTGTTGTGGCCCAAAAAAGAGGGACAGACCGTGACGCTGGAAAGGCTTTGGGTCTTGTTGGGGGGCAGCAAGGAATGCAAAGCTGTTCTCGGTGATCGAGGCAGGGCAGTTTGAACTTCAGATGGCCCAGTTGCATTGAGTGACACACCCAGGCAGACAACATCCGACAGGGTGAGCTGGGAGACTGCTGGCTTCTAGCGGCTGTTGCAGCAGACTGCCTAGATGTCAAGTCTGAGTTAGGGTCAAATGTAGTCAAATCACATCACATTGGATTGACTGAGGTCTTGGCCGACTACCCGGGTCACATCATGAATCTGTTTGCCATTTGGCAGCAGCTGGCCACTTGCACGCAGGATGCTGTTGCACGTAGTGTGAGCATGAGTCAGGATGAAACCGAGCTCAACAAGACGGGTAGCTGCTTGGCAGACGCATTGTGGGTATGTTTGCGTGCTGCCTGGATTGTGACATTGAAAGAGTAGGCTACAAGCAATGACATTGCCCATTGCAATCAGAGAACGTGAAACATAAACGACATAGTTCTGGTGTGTGTCACTGGCAATCTCAGCATGGGGACTCTGATCAAAAGGGGCAATTTTTGCCAAATACTTGTTCTCCACCTTGTGCCGCTCATGAATCGTGGTAAGGGTATGTCATCAAGCTGTATGACCTCAAGAATGGGTGGACGGAGAGGGTGTCGTGCACGCGCCGTTGTTGGATTCCTCGACTGGTTCGCTCGGTGAGTGCGAGGACGTGGAAATCGATGATATGATCCCCTGCGACAGAAACTGCGGGCCGCTCTTTGCCCAGTTGGAAGGTGACAGTGCCTGGGCTGAAAAATGCCAAAGAGCCTTTTGTTCGTTTTGCTGGGCCATGCTTGGGAGAGTGGGTTTTTGAAAGCAGAAAGGCGCGGTTTTTTTCAGACTTGCCCATCCTTATGTTCCTAGAGGCTGCTGAAGCATAGGCCCTGGCTGTAGAGAGGTATGTAGGAGTATTGTTTGTTTTTTCCTCCGTGTTTTTGCTTTTTCGCTTTTTGGCTTCTTTGTTTTTTGGCTTTTTGGCTTCTGGGCTTCTTGGTTTTGTCGCTCTGCTTTCCCAGTTCCTCTCCAGGTGGCCTTTTGGCTTTTGCAGCCTGTGTTTTGTTGGTTCCTGCAGGCTTTGGACACATGTTTGACTTTGGCGGCACCAGTTCCTCTCCGCCAAGTGGTTTTTGCAGCTATGTTTATGTAGGTAGCTTATGTAATCTATGTACTCTATGTGTGTATGTATGCACTTCTTCGAACATCATGGGCGCCCCCCCCCCCCTTAGCGCACCCTTTGTTGAAGGTTCGCTTCTTCGAGTATCATGGGGGGGGACTGCCGTCCCTCCAACCCCCCCGTTTTTTTTTTTTGGTTTAACAGAGGCTTACCAGCACCCTTTGCCGAATCGTCGCTTCTTCGAACATTCTGCGGGGGCTGCCGTTAAAGAGACAATTCACTCTTTGCTGAACCATCACTTTTTTTGAAAATTTGGGATCCTAAACAAGCCCAAAGACTGCTATTTGCAGCATTTGGCTCTCCCGCGTGAAAAACAACGATAAACCATATAAAAAAGAAACCAACCCCAAAAAATAATCCCACGTGAGGCGGCAGCCTCTGGGTGGACGCCTCATTTCGTTGGCACGCCGCAACTTGCCAACATGGGCCTGCGGTTTTTTGCTTCGCGGCGAAAAGGCCTTGCTGCTGGAGAAGGCCTTTGCGAAGCAGCGGCCCCAGCAGATTTTTGCACAGTCCAGTGGCAAAAGGTAGTCAGTCCCACTGATCAACATGGAACCGTTTAACAGGCACCCGGTCCGCTAAAATGGACATGGTTTATTCTTCCAGAGCCCTGTTAGTTGGTGGGAGGTGTAGCTTATGGGTGGAACTGGAACGCCGTTTTTTTTTTTTTTTTTGAATCGAGCTGAGATTCGCCCAGGTTCTGCGGGAGTTACGAGAAGTTGGTGGGCGGAAGCACGAACTGGGCCTGGCAGGCGCGTGTGCTCCGCCGAACCGGGGGGCCTCGAGAGCCTCGAGAGGTGCTGACCGGGATGCCCTGGATGGCGCGGTGGTCGCGCAAGGAGAGCACTTGGACCAGAGCCTTGGTTACTGCACCAGACGGTGTCTTGCGTGCGGCAAGTCTGCAGGGTAGCCGGGTGTGCAGCATTGCCTGAAGCAACATATCGTATGATTGAAGATATCTGGGTGTGTGCTTTGTTTTTAGGGGACTTCACAAACAATTGTTGTATTCCTTTTTGGTTTCCCTTTAAACTTACCAAAAGCGGGTACCGAGCCTCAAACAAAGACGAACCCATACAACTAAAATGGGCAACAGGGTTTTCCAGCCAAGTCCGCGACCCCGGCTGTGAGACAAGGCCAACATGTGACGCACGAGGGTCATGAAGGTCTTGGTTTAGGATTTGCAGTTTTGCACTCGAATCTGAATAAGCCATGCTCTCTAGTCGCCAACAATCAGCCAATCAACACATGATCCAACTGCTGTGCACTGGTCCCGCCATAATCTGACAAGCTTTTCCTTTTCAGCTCCTTGACGTTCCAATTCAGGATTTTATCTTCCCAGCTTCAGTTTTGAAGTTCTCATCCAAGCATGCTCATTTGGAAGACTTTCCTGTTCAGATGCTCACTCGCTTTTCAATTTCCCATCCTGTTCAGATGCTCATTGCAGTCCCTATTTGGAATCCACAAGCTAAAGTTCTTTTTGTCAATTCGCACACGTATTTTGAAGTTTGTCTTGTTCATATTCTCACTCGCATGCTGTTTTTGCTGACAAACGTCCAATTTGAGATGTCAATTCATCAAATTCCAGGCTCATTCTGCAAATTCTCGCTGAAGGTTTCCCTAACGCTCTTGTGACTCTGAGGATGGGAAATGTGCGGCGTCCAGGCGCGGCGCTGCTGCGCTGCTTTCGTGTTGCTTCGGTGTGTTGCTTCCTCTCTCGATTCGCTGAGGAATGTTTCAAAGATGATTCGAAGGCCCGAATGTGGCGCAACTGGGCTGACGTGGCGGGTTCTTTGAAGCTTTGGAAAGCTTCCAAACCCACTCGGTTTGGAACACACGCACAAACGGATACAAAAAGAAGCACCCGCAGCCTCGTGCCTTGTTGGTGAACCTATGTTTGTTTGGGGTGGGGAGGGGGCACGGTTGGCTGGCTTGTGCACGGTGCGTTTACGCACACGGGCATGCGTTGAACTGGCTGAGGAAGTGATGGAATGAGGCATGGGACGTGGAAAGGCCCGGCAGAAAGCCTGGACGATGCATCGATGTTCCAGGTGAGGGGGCTCGAAATCCGTCGCAGAGGGTTTCGCGAATTCTTACCGTGGCAAGGCTTTGGCTTCTTACACTCAAGCTTGCTTTGTCCTCGGCTTAGTTTAGTGCGTCGACATGTTTGCCCAAAGATTTTGGCGCCTTTGGGATGCGCGCAACTTTGCGAAGGCCATCAGCTGCTCGATCAGCGAAGGCGGCAGTGAGGAGATGAGCGCAGCCACATGCACTGAGGAAAGCTTCGCTTTGGGATTTGGGGCCTTCGCGCCAGGAAGAGCGGGCTGATGGGCTTTTGGCAAAGCATGCGTACTCGGTAGTGCAGGCGGAGTGAATTTGATGTGGGGGAGGCCAAATTATTATTTGAGATGAGAGTAAGCCTATTCGATGGAGGTGGGGGGAGCAAAGGTGATACTGGCAACTGTGCAAATTGTCGGGCGTGGCAACTTGATGATTACACGTTGGCTTGCTTGGTGTTTTCAGCTAATATCTTTCTTCTTGCTCAGCGTGTGATTCCTTCTGCGGCCTTGCGCGTTTGCAGGTCCTATGTGCTTTCGGCCGGTGCCTCGTGCAGGCTGCTCTTGCTTTGTCTCATGGGGGTTGTGCAAGTGAGTGGACGGTGCAGGTGAGGAATCCTTGGGGGAAAGGTGGCGAGTGGAACAGAGAGTGGTCGGACCACAGCAAGGAGTGGGAGAAGCATCCAGAGCGCCTTGGACCAAAGGACGTGCCGAAAGCGGGCGCGCCTGAATTTTCGGAAGAAGAAAAAGGCGAGCAACGCGGGATGCAATCTGCATCTGCAAGCTTGCACATAGTTAATGCCGGATGCTTGGCTTCAAGATGCCGACCTAACAACCTGGTATTCAACGCCTGGCCCTCCCCTTCAAAGGTGCTGTGGCAAAGTCCTAAAC